TCGAATTTGTCGAATACTATGCGAATCCAAACGAATCTCGTCGATTCCAGTAAAATTCTAAATCATGCAGTAAGAATTGTTGCGAGTCACGAATGGTTACGGTGACATACGAGCGAATTCGGCGGCGAATTATACAATTAATCTATTTTTCTTGCAATCTTACTCTTGCAAGTAATTACTTCAAATAAAATGAAAGCACTATTTCCCTTAATTTCAAAATAGGAATTACAAAAATGACTAGCAATCCTTAAAAATCTTTAATGAATTCTCAAATATTGTTCAATTGGATTTTCAGTGAACAGCCCCTCGGTTTTGTGCCTATATTCATAACTAGCAATCTCAAAAGGCCACAAGTAACCATTTTCAACTAAATTTAATTAATTTCTTAATCTTTGTCCGCCATATTAGATCCGCCATTTTGTATTTTCAAAAACTGACATCAAATTCGTAATCAGCGACCCCAAAAACCCCCGAGTAACAAGTTTTAAGCAAATCCGGTTGAATTTTTATTTTTTCGTCCGCCATATTGGATCCGCCATTTTGTATTTTTAAAAACTGACATCAAATTCGTAATCAGCGACCCCAAAAACCCTCGAGTAACATGTTTCAAGCTAATATCAATAAAAGAGGAACACCAAATATGTAAATAAGATAACTGTAGATTGTTGTTGAAATACATACCGTCATAAATATTGTTATAACTTTTGTTTTTTTCCTTTTTTTAAAAAAAACGTTTTGGGACAGTAATTCTATGGTCCTATGGAACATTTTTAAGCAAAAAAAATAGATTTTTTTGAAATTCTAAACCAGAAAGTCCCCTTAAAAAAAGATTCCAATTCATTTTTTAATATGCAAAGTACTTTGTATGTACAAATGCTTGATTTTATTGTCTCAATTAGAGAAGGTGATAAACATATTCAAATACTTTTTAGCGGTAATAACAATTATGGTCACTGAATTTGTGTTTATTACGATAGAGTAAGGCTTTATATTTTTGATAGCCTTAATGAGGGGTGTTTAAATGTGCATCAAATAAAATGTTTAATTAGATTGTTCCCTTTTAAACCAACAGTAGTTTTTGAAGCTGTTAATCAACAACCTTTTGGTAGTGTTGAGTGTGGAGTATATACAATAGCATTTGTAACATCTATATTATTTAACGTAATGCGAAACCGTGTAAATTATGAAACTGATAATAACAAAATGAGAAACCATTTTAAGTCAATGTTTGAAAATAATCGCTTAAATCATTTTCCGACAGTAAGATCGTCTCACAATAGGAATTCGATAATAGAGAATGATTAGAACCGTCTTTTCATAAATTGAACTCAGGAACATATAAATTATATTTTAAACTGTTGTTCTGTTTTTAATACTTTTCCCAGTAATAATATTAACAGAGTTCTATTAACACAATATTTAAAAATTAAACATTCTCTAAATGACACTAGTGAAAAGAAAATAATTCGTACAACTGATAATAATGTGAACAAAATTTCACCACATGAATATTTAAAAATGAAAAATTTTCTGAGTATAGAAAATGATAAAAAGATAAATCGAGCAATTAAAGAGAAGGGAAGAAAAAGGAAGGCAAGGCGCAAAGTTATATATGAGCAGAAAATAATAAGACAGGAGAATAAGACATTGAGAAAACGTAATCGTAATAAAACAGAAATAAAAAAGAAAGAGCGCAAAAAAATTTGACATGCAAAAAAAAGAAATTATCTTTTAAAAACTGAAGATAGAAAGAAAATACGCAAGGATTAAAATTTGGCATGTAGGAAAAGAAAAATATCAATGGAAACTCAAGATGAAAAGAAAGTGCGTCAAGAAAATAATTTGTCATGTAAGAAGAAAAATTTTCTACGGCAACGGAAGATGAAAAGAATGTGTGAAGAAAAGAATTTGGCATGTAAAAACGATAATCGGAATAAAAAAAGTGCAGGAGTTTCAATAATGTCTTTTGAAGATTTCGATGAAAGTAAAGTTCCACAGAATTATTTATGTTTAATAAATGTAGAATGTAAGTTTTGTAATGGGTTACATTTTTTGTGTGAAAGACCGTCACATAGATACATCACCGAGGAATGTTCCCGTAAAGAGGACATTATGATATCTCCTGAATGTCACAAAAATATTCCCGGTTGATATTCAAGCAATATTCCGTGCTACTTGGGTGGTAGATCCAATATAAAGAAATTTTTTTTTACATTTCTAATATTAAATTTTTTTGATAAAAAAATGAATAAAAATATGGTTAATGTATACTAGCAATGTTGTCGGCCGCTTGCGGACGACAAAGTTGCTAGTATTAAATAATATATATAAATAAATAAATAGTATAAAATAACTCATTATTCTCATTACACTTAAATATTTAATTGATCAAAATATTTTATTTGTCTTTAATAAAATAGTGTATTAACATTAAATAACGCATTATTTATATTAAATAAGTTAGTTAATTAGAATCAGTAAAATAAATTTATTGTATCCAATACTTTTTATTTGTATCAAAGAAACGAAATATTTGAGTGAAATAAATGAATGAATAGTTTCAAGTAACTCATTATTTGTATTAAATAAATTCATGTATTCAATTTAATTAATTATTTACATGGACTAAATACGATTTATTTGGTTAACACAAATGGGATTGAAATAACACAAGTTATTTGAATCAAATACATATTTTTTTAATCTAAATAAAAAGTATTTGAACCAATTAAATATTTTTGAAATAAATTAAAGAATTTGAATTAAATAAAAATTTTTTTTCAGTGTACGATTTTATAGAGGGTGCTTTAATAAGTTTATTTATTAACTCAGGAAAGTACCCTATTTTAAAAAAATAAAAGAATGTCAATAATTTTTTTCTACAACTAATTAGCGGCTAAATCTCATTCATATCTTAAAGTTGTTTTGCTACACTGAAAAAAAAATTTGTTTGATTGAAATACTCGATTACTTGAGTATTATGAAATAAATATTTACTTGAACCAACTATTTTTTATTTGAATTAAATAAATTGTATTTGAACCAATAATTTCTATATTTAAAAAAATAACATTTAATTGACTCAAATAATAAATATTTAATACAAATAAATATTTACTTGATAATAATCAAGTAACCGAGTATTTGAATCAAATAAATTTTTCTTCAGAGTAACTTCTTAAAAATATTTTTTTTAGTTTCACAATTTTCTATAACTTTTTTTCAAAATATTTTATTTAAATAATTCTTGATATTTCGTACGGATTTTTTAAAACTTTATTGCAATTTAAAAAAAATTCTAAAATGGTTAAAAACTAAAAATTTTTTTATTTGACGTTTTAAAGAACTACATAATACAAGGGAAGAAATTATATTATGTAAACGAATTCGCACTCTTTCATTAGTAGAAAAACTACTAATTCAGATTTAGACAGTAAAATAAAAAATTTGCAAGTAAAAAATTAAAACTAATATTAATAATTAATATTTACTTACTTATTGACGTTGAATCTTCATGCTGAAATAGACTATAATGATTCGAACAAATCAAACATATACAAAAGATTAATAAATGAAACTATGCATTTAAAAAATTCAAATAAGATAAACTAAGACTTATTTTGAAGTCCAACAAAAGTCAGTCAGTCAGTCACCGTTTTTGGTGATTTTCTGATTTTCACCACTATGGGCGTGGCCAATAGGGGTGGGACCGAGAGTTCTCAACTATTGGTGTGTTAATACTATTACACTTATAATGAGTTTCGACTTGAACTTGCAGCAAAATTTCAATTGTTTTAAAGATGAATTATCACATTATTTCACTGATTCATTCAGTGATTCATGTTTCAGATTATTAATCTGAAGATGTTTAACAACCCTGACATACACATACCAACTGACCTTATTAAGAGGTATGAAAAAAATATTTATACCAACTCACCTTTTTCAAAGGTATGAAAAATATATATTTATATTAACTCACCTTTTTCAAAGGTATAAAAAATATATATAAAGTGAATATAAAGCACATCCATTTCATACTTAAAAAAAATTATATTTATAAATTTTATTAAAATTGTGTTTAACAATTTCATATTGTTTTTTGTGTTTTGATAAATAAACACACTTTTTTAAACACGCCAGCATAATACTTATATAATTATGCTGACAGTCTTAAGCCTGAAAGTGTGATGGGAAATTTGTGTTTTTTTATTAAAATGCGAAGAAAAATGTATAGTAAAAAAAATTTACCCTTCAGTAAATTCAATGAAAATCATAAGATTTTTAAATATTGACATTTTTAATTCGAACAACATATGCCCGAAATCGTGAAATTACGAGGAATTAGAATATGTTAAAAAAAATTAAAAATTGTTAATATTAAAAAATTTTATAATTTCCATGAAAAACTTATTAGGGGCCATAAATATAAAATGTCATTAGGCCCGAGAACGCTGCTCAGGCCCCCGCGGAGCATGCGTCCCTCGAGCTCCGTGTTTATGGCCCGGCCAGTAGAGTGGGGGTATACTGCTTCCCCTCACGGGAGTCTTCCGATGACTGCGATGATTATATATTTTATTTAAATGTGTATTTAGAATTTACACTGAACACATTCCCTCTTTTGAGAGATTTTGATAAAATTGATCAAAACAAAAACAAAGGAGGAAAACAATCTTATAATAATTTAGCACTGAATTTACGTTTAAATATAAATGTAAGAACAAATTCATTTTTGTAATTTTTTTTAAAAAATTGAATAGTGAAAATTGCTATTGGAATACATTACACATAAATTTAACCTTTAGATAATTGAAAATTACTTAAGGTCTCTAAATAGTGTTCTTTCTTTCCGACGAATCACAAAGAAGAGGTGAGAGTTCTCGAAGGATAACTAGTGTATCCTTTTTGATGTTGTGACATCCTTTGTTCCATTTTGACCTCAGATTTTGTTCATTGATATATTCTTTATGCCATCTCTTCCAAAATTCCTGTTGTTTTTTCTAAATAAGTTCCCATGTTGACAGTCTGTTGTTTGGTGTGTTCCCGAAGTCAGGTTCAGGTAAACTCATCAATGAATTGCCCTTGAGAAAATGACCAGGAGTTAGAGCAATTAAATCATTTGTATCAGTGGAGATAGGAGTAAGAGGACGGGAGTTTAAAATTGTCTCGATCTCAATTATCAAAGTATTGAATTCTTTGAATGTGACTAAATCATTACAAATTCTTTTAAGATGGTATTTAAATGATTTGACACCAGCTTCCCATAATCTCCCAAAATGCGGTGAAAGTGGCGGAATAAAGTGCCAGCTGACATCCTTTTTGCGTAAATGTTCAAGAACCTCGTCGTTGTGTTTTTTCGATTGTAAAAACGAATATAACTCATTGTTAGCTCCTATAAAATTAGTTTCATTGTCCGAATAGATATTTTTCGGTTTGCCTCTTCTTGCTGTGAATTGTTTAAGAGCTCCAATGAAATTTTTAGTGCTTAAACTGGTAACAACTTCCAGGTGTACAGCTTTTACAACGAGACAAACAAATACGCATACCCATACTTTAATTTGGTTTTTTTTTGCGATGTTTCTTCTCTTTAATATAAAAAGGCCCGCAGTAGTCGACTCTCACGTTGTAAAAAGGTTTTGCTTCCGTGATTCGCACTCTTGGAATATTGCCCATAAGATATTCAGTTTTCGGAGGATTTGCTTTTACACAAATTATACAAGTGTTTATAATTTTTCGAACTTGTTGTCGGCCGTCTACTATCTAATAATTTTTACGTATTGCATACAATGTAGTCAGTGATCCAGCATGACAATTGGTAATGTGTTCGTTCCGAATAAGCAACGTCGTGATGTGGTGATCCTTAGGAATTAAAAGAGGATATTTTTTAGAGTAAGCCCTCACAACACAAGGATATTCAGGATATCCCTGGGACGTCCTGGGGATATCCATTTGCTTTTGGCGATTCGGATATCCCTAAGATATCCTCTGGATATCCATGGACATCTCTAAGATATCCCAGGGATATCCAAACCGCCGAAAACAAATCGATATCCCCAGGACGTCCCAAGGATATCCTGAATATCCTTTTGTTGTGAGGGAGGGATGTCACAATTTTTTAATGGACCACCTACTCGTATCAAACCATTTTCGTCGAGAAATGGATTAAATCTTTCCATTTATGATTCGGTGATAGATCTTGCTTCTCCTTCAATTCTTTCATTTCTTCGGAAAATATTGATTCTTGAACCAATTTCATGATCCTTTCATTTGCTGAGGATAGCTCGCAGGCAGATAGTGGACCCTTATTTTTATTCTTGAAGCGTAGACCAAAGGCGAATACTTTCCTTAAGTAACCAATCGATGAATATTTTAAGATCCATGGTCTTTACAATCTGGTTTTCGGAAGAGGTGCGTACCACTTGAAAACCCAAGTCGAACTCCTGTACTCAACCAGGATATGTAATCTAAATGACGAAACTGTCGCGAAGAACATTTTTCCAACTTTTGTTGAAAAGCGTACACAAGTGGTTTGTGATCCGTAAAAATAATAAATGGCCTCCCTTCCACTTGATGCTGAAATCGTTTAACGCCAGAATACATACCGAGCAATTCGCGATCGTACGCGCTATATTTTTGTTGTGCAGAAGATAATGTTTTTGTATAAAAAGCAAGTGGTTGCCATGCGTTATCTACTAATTGTTGTAAAACCGCTCCGATTGCATAATCGGATGCGTCGACGACAATACTTAATTTAGCCCCGAGTACCGGGTGCGCGAGTAAAGCGACATTCGCGAGAGCTTTTTTCGAAGAGTCAAATCAATCTCTGCACCGTTATTCCATGTTACCTGTTTTTTGACCTTTTAACAAATTGCTGAGGGGTTGTAAAATTTTTTCCGCCTGAGGAATGAATCGTCGATAAAAATTAAACATTCCTAAATAACATCGTAGTTTTTCATTGTCGTTGGTTTTGGAAAATTAATGATAACTTCAACTCTCTCTTTCAAAGGTTCAATGCTGCGAGAATTTACAGTGTACCCGAGAAATGTAATTTCCGACACGCCAAAAACACATTTTGTCGGATTAATAACTACATCGTAATCATTTAAACGTTTAAAAAAAATATTTAAATGCTCTAAATGCTGTTCTTTGGATTCTGAGACAATTAAAAAATCATCAATAAAAACATAAACAAAATCTAAACCGCGTGTGATTTCGTCTACAAATATTTGACAAGTTTGGGCAGCGTTGCGTAAACCAAACATCATATTTCAGCTTCATACAACACGAAAGGAGTTATTGTCGCCGTTTTTTCCACGTCTTCCGGCGCGACCGGAATTTGGTGATACGATCTCACCAAATCCAATTTTGAAAAAATTTTCTTACCATGCAATTGCTGCGCAAAGTCCTCAATGTAGGGAGGGGTATACCAGTCGGGGATCGTGCGGGCGTTAACAGCACGATAATCTCCACATGGTCGTATCCTTCCATCCTTTTTTGGCACCATGTGTAAAGTTGAACACTATGAAGCTTTTGATGCTCGTAGTACTTCTTGCTGGACCAATAAATCAAATTCCTTTTTTGCCACCTTATAATAGTCAGGAGCAAGACGTCGAGGCCTGCAATGCACGGGAGGTCCTGGTGTTGTTTTTATGTGGTGCACAACCTTATGTTTCAGAAATTTTTTGTTAAACACGGGTGGGCGAGTGAGGTCTGGGTATTTACTAAACAGCTGATGAAAGACACTATTCCCCACTATTGTTTTTACAGAAAACACTTCCTAGTGCGCTGAACATCCCGCGGTAGATAAACCGGATATTGCGTCAATCAATTTTAGGTTTTGTGGATCAATCAGTAAACCGTAATAAGATAAAAAGTTCATTCCAATAATAGGTATACTGACATCTGCTACTACAAATCTCCACTTAAAACTTTTTCGCAATGACAAATCCAGTTCCAGAGCGACCGTACTGTATGTTGCGATAGGTGTACCGTTAGCCGCGAAAAGTTAATATTCACATTTTTTAATCGATCCTTTAACTTTTTGTCGTGGATAAATACATAAATCTGCACCTGTGTCTATTAAAAATAAATCTGAACAATTGCGATCAGAAATAAAGATGCGGCGTGACAAAAAAATCTTTAAATTTGCTTTTACGGCTCAGAGTAGCATTCGCGATTTTCGTTACGTGCACGACCAACAGATAACAGTCTTTGTTAATTTCCGCAATCCGTCCTGCATTCCGCGGAATTTCGTGAACGCGGTCCGCGGTGGCAACCAATGCATTGATGTCTGCGATATTTGACGCAGCCAAAACTCTTTGTGTGTCAGATGGTAAACGATTTTTCCATAATGTTAATATGAACTCTTCAGGAACCTAAGAGGTGGCGAGTTTTTTCAAGTCACGAAAGAATTGTGATGGTTTGCGATCACCAATTTCTTCACTTTCTAAAAGTTGTCGCACTCGCGAAGAATCAGAATCTGTTAGTCTTTTTGTCAGTTGTGATTTTAAATATTCGTATTTATTTTCATCAGGCGGAGACATTATAACGTCTTCCACCTGTTCAATATATTTTTTACCAATATTCGAGATTGTAATGTTAAATTTCGTTTCATCTTTACTTATTCGCAAAGTAGTGAATTGCGCCTCTAAAAGTCGGAACCATAAACCAATTATATTAGGCCAAAATTGCGGAACACGTAAACTGCTTAAACCACCTGCACTCACAACACTTATGTTCCCGTCATTATTATCACTCGCGTGAGAATTATTGTCGTCCGTTCCCGTCATATTTAAAACAAGGAGGGGGTCCTTTATGTTTATTTCATAAACATTATGCTTCCTCATTGTGTGAAGCAAAAAATTCGCTTCCTCGTGAAGGAAGCAATGAATTTGTCCAATTCAATTGATTGATTTAAAAAATTTCGAGTTAAAAATGTTTTAAATTAATTAAATTTTTTGAAAAATAAAGAAAATTTTAATTAATTTTGAGTGTAACATAAACTTTATATATACGAATCGATTCGTTTTAATGCAAGGAATACAATTATTTTATTCATCAACTTGAATTTAAAAAAAACACAAAATTTTTTAGCTAAAATATGAATTTTCGATTTTTCAATTTTTATTAATTCTCAAATTTTAAATCAAATCTATACTTTACATATACCAACCAATTCATTCAATGCAGGGAATAAAATTATTTCATATATAATCATGAATTTAAATAAACACATAATTTTTTAGCTAAAATGAGAATTTTTGATTTTTTAACTTTCTTTAATTCTTTAAATTTCAATCAAATCTATACTTTATATATATCAATCGATTCATCTTGACATAAAGAAGACGATTATATTATATATTACCTTAAATTTTTCGATTTAAAAATTTTTTCAATTAAAAAAAAATTTTTGGAAAAAAGACGATAAAATTTTTTTTTTGGGGTATTTTTAAAAATCCTCTCGTCATTTTTGAGAGATTAATGTGTTAAATAAGCCTACCAATTTTATCCAAATCCATTAAAACCTGTTAAAGATATCGTGTTCACAAAAACGATCCACACACACATACACACACACACATATATACATCCGGACAATTGATCAGGATCTCATATAACATGTTTCTATATAGAGGAAAATTTGTTTTCACCATTTTTAAAAAGTTTATAAACGAAAGGACTACATAGCTTCCTCCACGAGGAAGCAAAATGTTAAATTTTGTACCAAAAATTTTTAATTATCGCTCACACGTTATTCAACCACATTTTAAACGGGTCACCAATTTGTGGGTATCGTGTGGGATAATTAAATAAAAGTAGTCATAATTCTAAACGAGGCAAGGAAGTGGTTTTGATTGGTGCAACACGGGCCTTTGAACAGAGTAGACGTGTTTGTATTTCTCCGTGAATGTTTGTAGATCGAATATAGATACATGCACCATATCCTTTCTCACTTGCATCGCAGAAGCCATGTAGTTGAATATTCTGTGCTTCTGATATAATCACTTTTCTGTTAAATGGAATATTATTTAACTCGCTCAATTGACTAGAGTATTCTTTCCAATCTGAAAAAATACTCAAAGGTATAGCGTTGTTTCAATCTATTTTTTCTAGCCATAAGCGATGGAGAATCATTCTTCCTTTTATTATTACTGGACCCAAGAATCCGAGCGGATCAAAGATTTTTGATACTTCTAACAGCATGATTCGTTTGGTCATTTTAACGTTTGTTTGGATAGGAAGAACAGTGTAAGCAATTTCGTCGGTATTCGATTTCCAATACAGGCCTAGAGTTTTGATGGTTGAATCTTCGGATAATTTTAATTTAACATTAACGCTGCCTTCTGGTAAACCTTCCAAGAGTCGGGGGTCGTTCGATGCCCATTGACGCATGTTTAATTGTCCTTTTTTCAACAAGTCTATGACATTATCTCTTAGTTTGATCGCTGCTTCGAAATTATCAGTCCCTGTTTGCAAATCATCGACATATATATCTTCTTTAATAACTCGCCCATCCTCAGGAAATTCGTGACTGTAATCGTCAGCCAGTTGGTGTAAACAGCGGATAGATAGAAACGGAGCAGCTGATAGACCGAAAGTGACAGTATTTAATTGAAAAATTTGTTCATTTCCATTGTCATCCTTCCACCAGATTTTTTGATATTTTCTATCTTCTTCTCTGACCCAAAACTGCCGATACATTTTCTCAATATCGCCAGTTAAAACAAATTGATTGGTCAGAAAGCGAGTTAACAATGAAAATATATCTTGCTGAATAGTAAGTCCGCCCATCAGAGTTTCCTTGAGAGAGAGAATTTTCATCTTTTGCCGATCCGTCGAAAACAGCTCTGACCTAAGTAGTGACGCTGGAATTTTTTACGACTGCGTGTTGTAGCAAGTAGAATCCATTTACCTCTTGAAAATCTTCTTGGATTGCCGTCATATGTCCTAGATCAATATATTCCTGCATCACAGCTGAATATTCCTCTTCGATTTTTGGATTGCGCTTGAATTTTCGGAGAAGGGATTTGAAACGATTTTTAAGCTCTTTGCTTTGTTTTTCCTAAATTAATTTCCTTTCCGTTGAAAGGCAGAGCAACTACATACTTTTTGCGCGCATCTTGCTTGACATTTTTCATAAAATTTTCTTAACAAGTTCTTTCTATGCCTGTTAATTGACTATGTTGGAACAGTTAAAAAATTAAGAGTTTTTGAATATGTATTAATCCTCAAATTAATCGTTGCCGTGATCAAATAATTGGTCTTGGATTGAGAGTTAGCCATTCCTTCAATGCAGGGTTCCAATTTTTTGAGAGGTTGCTTTGACTTGTTGTAGATGGTCTGATAAAAGTAAGACGCGTGGCTTGTTCCCGCAAAAAATTCAAAAGATCTTCATAATTCGGAACATTATTTCCTTGTTTCGAACGATTCCATTCCCTTTCAGTCTCTTTGTCTAAGCTACGTTGAATGACGCGTTCTATAATGGTGTTCCAATTTTCGATTTTTTCCCCGAGTGCTTTCATAGCGAGCAATTAAGTTTGAATATGATTAGTTAATTTTCGAATTTCATCAGCCGAACTCTTTTTCATTACGGGAGTTTCCAACAATAAATCGCAATGACGAAAGATGAGAACGTATTCAATGTCGTATGTTGATTCTAACAATTTCCAAGCGACGGCGTAATTTTCATCTGAAGGTTGAAATGCTCTAATTGTTCTTTCTGCTTCTCCGGAGAGGGTTCTTTTTAAATAATCTAATCGTTGAGCGTCTGTTAGATTTTCACGATTGTGGATAGTATGAATAAACCAATCACGGTACATTCGCCAATTTTCTAATGTTCCGTCAAATTTTTTAGCTTCAATTTTTGGAAAGAAAGACAGATATAATCCGATGGAGCTGAATGCGAGTAGACCGATCCGGACCGAGAGGTTGAAGGTGCGCGATTCCGAATTTCTGCTTCAAGATTTGGTTCTTTCAATTTCCTAACTAATACTTTTATTTCTTCATAATCAAAATAAATATTTTCTTCTTCATCTTCGTGACGTTTATCCGGTTGTAATTGGATAAGTTCAAGCTGAATTTGTGCTAATTTAATCAATTCTGTATCAATAATTGATGTGTGACGATTGGCGTATTGTGCACTTGCGTAGACCACACCGTCTTTTAAATAATTTAATAGTTTCGTGATTCTACGTTTTAAATTTCCGCGGTTTTGAACCAAGGCACTTCTTCTAGTCTTTTGTTCCTCCGTTAATTCGGCCATTTTTATTTTATTTTATTGAGATCGAGGGGGTAAGGAGAAATTGAAAACAAATGGTAAAGGATAGACAATTTCAAACAATATGATGAGCTTACCGATTGCTGGTCGTTGACGATGATAGGTAGGTGGATGGCTATATCCCAATCTCAGCTCCTTCTCAATGTTGACTGCAGCTGCTCCAATTGTGAATGGTTGTCCTTTGATTCAGATGTTTTTTTGTATTTTTTCTTGAAATTGTTTAAAAGAAAAAACACTATCCAAATTGCACTTGAGTTTTTCTATCAAAATTCACTTTTATATTTTTAGAAAAGAAATTTACTTCACAGACTATATTGTCCACAAATCCGGCTCGAAGGACCATGAAAAATGTATTAGGTTTTGACGCGATAGTTATTGCCGTGTTTTTTTAAATACAATGCAATTAACATTTGGCAACAACGCATACATATTTTGTAAATAGTGAGAAAATTCGAAGATAGTCTGTTTTAAAGAAATAGATTTGATTTTATTGCACTCTTCCGCCAGGACTTCGCGACAAGAGTCATAAAGGGCACAAGACCCAAAACTCAAGTAGTGGGGTAACATTGGAGACTACCTGGGTTCGCATTAGGTCCTTTCTCGAAGAGTACATTTCTTTTGTTATTTCCGTATTTTCGCACTAAATGTTTTTTAGAAACTAACAAATGTAGCTAAATGTCCTTGAAATTAGAAAGGTTCAAGTAAATTAAAAAAAAAAACTTTCGAATGCCTTGAAATTATTTGTCTTAAATTATATATATATGTAGATATATAACAAATAGCTATATATAGTAATATATAGCAATGTAGCAAAAGAATATTCTACTTTTTTAATATTCACTTTTAAAATTATACAAATAATTGAATTTATCACTCACTTTAAAATTATATATTTTATTTAAATGTGTATTTAGAATTTAAACTGAACAAAGATAGTGCAAATACTTTATCTTTTATGGTGAAATTTTTATGAAATTTATTAACATTCGCGTTCCGAAAATGACATAAAATAAAGTTACGAACTGGCGAAATCATTTTATTTAAAATTTCGTCATACCCTTTATCAGTTACAGATTGCGCACGCAAAAGACGTTCACGCATATTCTCGTTTTCCTTATTCGAGACGCGTAATACGAAAGGTCAATAATCAAAGAATACAGCTGCTCATCTCTTTCGTTTAAATTCTTCTTCCTTTACACTTCGACGCTCCTCGTTGATATAATGCTTATTCGAACGCTAATGTAATATAATTCTTATTCAGGTTTTTGTGTAATATAATGCTTATTCGACATTGCGGGGAATATAATTTTTATTCGATACTCCGGACAATATAATGCTTATTAGAGGTTCAGCATAATATAACACAGACCAACAGAATTAGAAAATTTTTATGGTGTGGCAAATGTCAAAGCTGTTTCTTATAGATTTTTTCATGATGAACACGAATCCATAAACGAAAAGTTTCTATCAGATCTTTTTTTTTAATACATGAACTCATGGCAAACAAGTTTTGTCTCTGCTAAATTCAGTATTTTATATATTTTTAGATCATTTTGACCATTTGGCGATTTAGCGTGACCCAAGCAAGGACCATGACTGTATTTTTTCCGTTTAATCACGACTAATTGAAAGAATCTGGATTATTGACAACAGAAAAAAACAAAGTGCAGAAATAGATTCTGTAGAACGTAAAGAGAACGATATCGCTGATTAAGGACTGGAAAAAATTTAAATTTTGCTCCAATTTTTATTGAATTTTATTACAAATATTATAAATATCATTATTATTTTTATTATTTTGATGTTTCGTTTTAATTGTTTTGCCTTATCTGTACCCATAAATATCTTTGAGTCAAATAAAAAAAAATTAATTTCACTCACTTCTTATTAGTGTATTAAATGATTTTTTGTGCAGTTTACGCACTTATTGTAAGGATAAATTAAATTAAACTTACTTAATTTCATCATAAAATTCCAGTTTATTTTCATGCAGTTATCTTTTAAAAATTCTAAAATTTTTACTGAGTTATTGTACAATAATTTTTGGAATATTATTGCAATGTTACAACGAAATATTACAGCAACATTACGAATAACATTTCCACAACATTCCACAGAAATGTTTCAGCAACTTTTAATTCATTTTCTATAAAAAATTTTTTGTAATATTTCTGGAATATTCCTTGAGTCGGACATAGCAATGTTCCTGAAACATTGTAGCAACATTTGCTTGAAATATTTCAAACATTACAATGCAACATTGCTGCAATATTGCGTCTTATGTGGGTGAATAAAACATGATGGGAAAAACTTATGACTTGATCACTTGTGACCACTTAAATAAAGCATGGAATAATAAAATAATTTACTGAAAAGAATGGTAACGCCACCACCCACTTCAGAAGCTGATGGAAGAATCAAACATACGATCATATTGGCGCTTCAATTACTCATCAACTAAAAGGATTCCTCAATTTCATTTCAGGGAGCACATGTCTAATAACCTCTAGTTTAGAACTATGCAAAAAAAGAAAAATCGATTTTTTCTAACACCAAAAGTAGACTTCCCCCTCAATATCGATTAGCTTAAAGTTGTCTCGTAATTAAAGTTGAGACGATAAAGCGAGATGCAAACACAAAACGCATTACAATGCATGGCATTTTTACGCGTTTCGCGTACGCAACAAGCGATATCTTCTCGATGAAGAGACACCAAAGGATCAGAAAAATGGACGCGCGCGTTAAGCAGCTAGTTAATCACAATAAACTATTGCACATGTATCCACAGTTGGGTTTTGTTTACATGCAACTACATTATCATTTACGTATTCTGAAACAAATTTTCTATGTATTAGAGGCGATCGAGGCGCCTCAACCCCGGGGCATTGAACTATTCAATGTATTGCCAGCCTCCATTGTGGCTTGTAGAGCCTGGTTTTTGAGAAAAAAATATTTAGTTACGCTAACGCGTCAATTTGCTGTGATGATAAAACCAAATAGCGAGCGTTTACACACATACACATGTAAACATGCGCGCGTCGCTTTGGCATGTGTCAATTCGCGCTATACCATAACTAAAAAAATTTTTTCTCGAAAACTGTAATACATACCATCTATTTCAAGGTCTTAAATTTTTCAGGACATGGTAGAGAATGTTCATGAATATTTTATTGAAATATTTTGAATTTTTTAAAAATACTTGGGTTTTCTTCTTTTAACCCTTAAAGGAACCCAAATTATCAATTACACAAAAATTTACCAAAATAACAAAAATCGGTGAGATTACTTGACGCGGAGTCGCTCAGTTAAAAATACCTTTCTGTACTTCAATTCGATAATAGATATTGCTATATAATTTTCTATATAAAAAACTATTTCAATTTAACATAAAAGTGCATAATATTTTTAAATGATCTTAATATTTAAATGTTTTTCAGTTATCATCAATGACGAAGACAATGAAGTAGCTAACAAAAGTGTAATGACTTCTTTGAAAACGCTGAAAGAAAAGTGTCCAAGTTGCGTGGGAGAAGTCTATGTGATTGAAATAGATAGTTATGATCATAATAGCACTATTGAACGACTATGTAAAAAATGGACTTCGATTCTTAAAGAAGGAAGATCAGGATCGAAAATCCCAGATTTAGTACTGGACATAACAAGAACTGGATTAGCAACAGGATCTGTCAATGCTTTTACTGCTGGCCTTGGCTTACCGACTGTTTCAGGCGAATATGGACAAAAAGGTGATCTACGGTAAGTTCTTTATTCAAATACATAAATATTCTTTAATAAATAATTTTAATAAATTTAATAAATATTAATAAATATTCTTCTTTATTCTTTCAAATAAATATTCTTTAGAGAATTTTCAAAATTCAAGAAAGAAAAATGCTTATATAAATTCATTTACACTACTTGAATAAAAATGTACTAAATTTTACTCACTGAAAAAGTTTTCTTTAATCAAAAGTAAACAAAATCAAAATAAGTTAAATTAAGCGTTTATATATAACTTTTAAGTAATGAAAAAAACGCGTCTTTAATAACTTTTATTGAATAATGGAAATATTTTTATTTAAATAAAAATATATTACGTTATTGTAGAGGAGAGTAGGGGGATGTGCACCGGGCTTTGTTTTTCGAACAAAATTATTATGTAAATTTTTTTTACTATTTTATTATATAGAACTTTTAGTACATATGTACAAACACAACTTTTATCATGATCAATTAATTAAAATTCAAAACGAAAATAGAAATTTTACTTGTTTTTCAAAAATACTGGTTTCATGACTTTTCAAAAAACGTGAGGAGTTGTTCTTCACGGTTGAAAATTCAAGAAAAAAACATACTTTTTAGAAAGTTCTTTATTTAAATTGTGAAATGTGAAAAAGTAAGATAATTTACATAAAATAAAGTAATAGATAAGATAATTAAAGATTAATTTTAGATAATTTAGATAAAATGATATTATTTTAAAAATAATTGAATTAAACTAGGTAATTTATTTCTTTTGCAGTGAATACAGATGTAAAACGTCTCATCTCACTAAAGAATAATTAATATTTAAATTACATAAAACATTCGAATTATTCATAAATAATGCGAAATAAGAATAGAGAGTGTTTATTAGAATTAAAAACTGTTAATTGAGCCTCCCAATTACATAACTCGCCCGACGCTCTGAAGGACGTCGGGTAGCAGCGAGAGAGTTATTGATGCTGACTGCTTACCCGATGACCGTCCGAGTGTCAGACGAGTTATAGAATTGGGAGGGTTCCTAACTCCATTTTCCTTACTCTTAAACGTAAAAACATGTTCACAATTAAAATAGAATTTTATTTCAAGGAGGAAAATGAGTTTTATTTTAAGATACACACTAATTTCGATTTAAATTAAAACTATCTTGATTTTTAAGACTGATTAAACTTTCGAGCAATCTTTATAGAAGATTTTATTTTTACTGTGATGTTATCCTGCTTGATATCAATCGTTTTATATTCAGAAAAGCTACTCCAAGAAATAAATCATCTCTTTGGTGAAAGAAGAGCAAAAATCGTAATTGGAAAAAATATCGAAATTAACAATTTCAAATAAATTTCAAAATTTTTATAAGTACCTGACAAGATGTAAATTATAATTACACAGGCACACAAAAAGTAAAATGTGGTTTGGCCGAGACACTACACTAGTCTATTTTCATGTATTTTTTCACGCTGAATGCAAATCTGAAGTCAGAATTATCAGATTGGCTTTTATTTTTTAGATAAACTCAAAAAACTGCTCAGAAAGAAAAATAAAATCAAAAAGTTAAAAAATTTTTTAATGTCACTGCGATAGTGTAATTCTATGTATTTTTTGTCGCGGAATCCGAATCCAAAGTCAGAATTGTTAGATTCGCTCAAATTTTTGAGATATAATTGCAAAAAAACGCAAGTTACAAAAAACTCAAAATACTCAAAATCAGTTTTTTGGAATTATCTTCAAAATTTTTGAAGCTTTGAGCCAATCTGTCAATTCTGACTTCGAATTCGGATTCATAGTGAAAAAATACATAAGAATTCACTATCGTAGTGTTTCGGCATAAAAAATTATCTTTGCCTCTAATTCAGAATTTTTATCAGTTTTTGGCGATTTTAGCTCAAAGAAATTTTTTTTTGCCGAAACACTACGATAGTGCATTTTCATGTATTTTTTCACGCTGAAACCGAATTAGAAGTCAGAATTGACAGATTGGCTCAAATTTTGAAGATAATCCCAAAAAACTGATTTTGAGTTTTTTGTTACTTGCGTTTTTTTGCAATTACATCTCAAAAATTTGAGCGAATCTAACAATTCTGACTTTGGATTCGGATTCAGCGACAAAAAATACATGGAATTACACTATCGCAGTGACATTCAAAATTTTTTTAACTTTTTGATTTTATTTTTCTTTCTGAGCAGTTTTTTGAGTTTATCTAAAAAATAAAAGCCAATCTGATAATTCTGACTTCGGATTCGGATTGAGCGTGAAAAAATACATGAAAATAGACTAGTGTAGTGTCTCGGCCAAACCACATTTTACACATTTTTTAATCCTTCATAACCCATAAATAAATGTCAAAAAACCCCAAGCATTAAAAACGATTGCTCAAAAAGTTATCGTTAAATGAAAATTAGATTTAATGCGAGTTACATCAGGATTTTCTCTATTCCTTCGATTTTAGTGAAGAAATATGTTGTTTAAATATCTAATTTTGCCTAATAAGACCATTTATTATTTTTCATACTCATGAGTAGTATTAACAAATGTAAATTAAATGTGAATTGACAATTTGGCAATTTTGTAAATTTATAATTTTGTTTATATAAAATTGTTATTAAAAATATAAAAAATGCCTATTTAATTAATTATTGATTTTTTATACCTATATTATAAAAATACATTATCTTTAAAAAAACTTATAGCAAACACAAATAATTTTTGCTTCCTCGTGGAGGAAGCTATGTAGTCCTTTCGTTTATAAAATTTTTAAAAATGGTGAAAACAAATTTTCCTCTATATAGAAACATGTTATATGAGATCCTGATCAATTGTCCGGATGTATGTATGTGTGTGTGTGTGTGTGTGTGTATGTGTGTGTGGATAGTTTTTGTGAACACGATATCTTTAACAGGTTTTAATGGAGTTGGGTAAAATTTGGTAGGCTTATTTAACACATTAATCTCTCAAAAATGACGAGAGGATTTTTAAAAATACCCAAAAAAAAAATTTTATCGTCTTTTTTCCAAAAATTTTTTTTTAATTGAAAAAATTTTTAAATCGAAAAATTTAAGGTAATATATAATATAATCGTCTTCTTTATGTCAAGATGAATCGATTGATATATATAAAGTATAGATTTGATTGAAATTTAAAGAATTAATGAAAGTTAAAAAATTAAAAATTCTCATTTTAGCTAAAAAATGATGTGTTTATTTAAATTCATGATTATATATGAAATAATTTTATTCCCTGCATTGAATGAATTGGTTGGTATATGTAAAGTATAGATTTGATTTAAAATTTGAGAATGAATAAAAATTGAAAAATCGAAAATTCATATTTTAGCTAAAAAATTTTGTGTGTTTTTAAAATTCAAGTTGATGAATAAAATAATTGTATTCCTTGCATTAAAACGAATCGATTCGTATATATAAAGTTTATGTTACACTCAAAATTAATTAAAATTTTTGTTTATTTTTCAAAAAATTTAATTAATTTAAAACATTTTTAACTCGAAATTTTTTAAATCAATCAATTGAATTGGAGAAATTCATTGCTTCCTTCACGAGGAAGCGAATTTTTTGCTTCACACAATGAGGAAGCATAATGTTTATGAAATAAACATAAAGGACCCCCTCCTTGTTTCTATGTATTACACATATTGACCCTACAGAAATTTTACCCCATATATATATATATATATATATATATATATATATATATATATATATATATATATATATATATATATATATTCATGATGCATTCCACGCCAAAGTGAAAGTCCATCTGCAATTGCATCTCCGATTTTTTTTTCTTGTAGTACTAATCGAGACAAACATCCATGAATTTTTTCAAATTTTTTTAGCAAGCCATTTTCGAGTTATGGAATTTTGAAAATTGAAGAATTTTCATGACTTTTAATTTTTCAATGCTCATAACTTTCTTAAAAATGCATCAATTTTAAAAGTCTTTTTATCAAAATGTGTGTTTTTAAACGTATTTTTGAAAAAAAATCGAAATTTAAAAACAAAAATTTTTTTTAATTTATGAAAAATTTAAACAGTGAATTTTTAAAGACTTGTAACTTTTAAACAAAAAAAGAAAAAAAATTTGTCCTATATGTTTTCGAAAGGTTTTTTCCTGCTCTTTCAAAAGGTGCAAAAATATTTTTAAAAAATTAAAATTTTGACCCTTTTTTGAAAATTAGACTTTTTATCGAATTTTATTTTTAAGTTTCGTTCTTTTTTTTACGCCAAATTTTACACAAAATTGCATTCCTTACATAGAAACTAATTGATTGATCTATATATTTTACCTAAATTTATAAAGTTAATCGTTATTTTTAACGTCAACAAAACGTAAATAAATTCGAAATAAATTATTCGAAACAACTTAAGAAAAAGAAAAATTTAAGAAACTAGGTGTTCATTTTTCATGACCATTTAGCTTCCTCATCATGATACACTTATATTCAAGATTAAAAGAAGGATTACAACTAAAATAGCGATCAATTTTATAAATATTAGTAAAATGTAAATTTTGTATACCTCAATCGATTTGTTTTTATGCCAGGAATATAATTTTGACAAGAATTAATTAAAATTTTTATATCAGAAAAAGTTATTTCAAAAAATACAAAAAACGATTATTTAAAAAAAATTTTAAACAAGGAGGGGGTCCTTTATGTTTATTTCATAAACATTATGCTTCCTCATTGTGTGAAGCAAAAAATTCGCTTCCTCGTGAAGGAAGCAATGAATTTGTCCAATTCAATTGATTGATTTAAAAAATTTCGAGTTAAAAATGTTTTAAATTAATTAAATTTTTTGAAAAATAAAGAAAATTTTAATTAATTTTGAGTGTAACATAAACTTTATATATACGAATCGATTCGTTTTAATGCAAGGAATACAATTATTTTATTCATCAACTTGAATTTAAAAAAAACACAAAATTTTTTAGCTAAAATATGAATTTTCGATTTTTCAATTTTTATTAATTCTCAAATTTTAAATCAAATCTATACTTTATATATACCAACCAATTCGTTTCAATGCAGGGAATAAAATTATTTCATATATAAACATGAATTTAAATAAACACATCATTTTTTAGCTAAAATGAGAATTTTTGATTTTTTAACTTTCTTTAATTCTTTAATTTTCAATCAAATCTATACTTTATATATATCAATCGATTCATCTTGACATAAAGAAGACGATTATATTATATATTACCTTAAATTTTTCGATTTAAAAATTTTTTCAATTAAAAAAAAATTTTTGGAAAAAAGACGATAAATTTTTTTTTTTGGGGTATTTTTAAAAATCCTCTCGTCATTTTTGAGAGATTAATGTGTTAAATAAGCCTACCAAATTTTATCCAAATCCATTAAAACCTGTTAAAGATATCGTGTTCACAAAAACGATCCACACACACATACACACACACACACACACACATACACACACACATACATACATCCGGACAATTGATCAGGATCTCATATAACATGTTTCTATATAGAGGAAAATTTGTTTTCACCATTTTTAAAAAGTTTATAAACGAAAGGACTACATAGCTTCCTCCACGAGGAAGCAAAATGGTTTAATCTATGGATTTCAGTAAAATATGAACTTTATATAGGTTAATCAACTCGTTTTAATGTAAGAAATAAGTTTTTTTTACTAAACAAAAGTAAATTTACAAAGAAAAAAATATTTTGAAAAAAATTTTTTTTAAAGGTCATATAGGGCTCGTTAGATGTAAAATTACGTTTATAAACATTAATAAATTAATTAATTAATATCTCGAAAACAAAGAAAAACGTTATTCTAGTTTTTTTGGTTTTGAAAATTTATATCTTAAGCTTCATTTTGAGGGTAAAAGAAAAGAAAAAAAAGTGCCTTTTTGAAGGAAAAAATCAAAAAAAATTTTTGATTTTCAAAGAAAGTGGTAAATTTTAAATTAAAAAAAAAAATTTTTCACCATTCGAAAGAGCACAAAAAAACCTTTTAAAAACATATAAACTGAAAAAATTTTAGTGCACCGGTTGTACTGGTTAGTTTAAAAATTTTTGTACTTTAAAAACGGACATCAGTTATCCCGGTTTAGTGCAACCTATTTCCCCTATAGTGCTTCTGACGCACCAAATCAGGATAACAGTTGCCCTCAACCCATAGTACAACAGTTCTACCGTAGATTGCGCATCTGATACACAAAAAAATTTTCAGTGTAGGACAAAATTTTTTCCATCCATTTATATGGAAGTTACGATTTTTTAAAAAAATCCACTGTTCACATTTGACAAAAAACTTGAACCCCCTCCCCCTCTACAGTTTTGCATAAAACTTAATAATAATTTGTGCAAATTTCAGCCCGATCCGAAAACCTTCAATTTTAAAGTTGGATCACTTCAGAAATTTTGCCTCATATATATTATTTATTATTCATAAATAAACCCTGTGGGCAAAAAACCATGTTCGTTCTTAAAACGTTTTTAGAACGAACATGGTTTTTTGCCCACAGGGAATTAATGTAAATTTAATTGATTTAATATATTGAATTAAAATTAAATACTTACTACAGGAAAATCGATTGATGGCTTATCAAAAATAAGAAGAGAACGAAATTGATTTGCTCTCCAAATGTCATAATGACTGTCAAAAACAGCAATTGGTCCTGCTTTGTTATGAAAAATTTGAGAAATTAAATCCTTACTTAACAAATAAAATGCAATTTCATCAACTTCATTTTCTGAAAAAGAATTTTAATATAAGTACAATATGATAAATCCAGATCCAACATAATCTCAAAAAAAATGTTAAACAGGCTTTTGTCCAATTGTATTTTACAAAATAAACTTTAATAAAAAAATGTAAACTTCATTTAAAATATCAATTTTTAAAAAATAATTTGATTTATAACAAAATATAATTAGAAATATATTTCGATGTAAGTGCAAAAGCATGGGGTACAAAATCATAGAATTTAATTTTGGAAAAGACAAATTTTTCTACTTTATAAGTTTAATTTGATTTGACTAATATTAAAAGGAAAAGAAATAAATTCTACTCTTTTAACTGACGCTTCACAAAATCGTCCATCTTTGAAAACTGCTTTTGCCGGCTGCTACGCGGAGACACGCATGTCACATACACCAATAAAATTCGGCGCACCCACGGATAGATATTGGAAATCGTTTAAAGTTGTATAGGTAGAATAAAGATAGAGCCTTATTGCAGTAAAATGAATATAAAAATCTCTGTTTTAAGAAAATAAATAGTAGAAATTCGTTATTGGCATGTTTAATTCGGATGCATATACTCTGCCTGTACTAAAATTACAGTAAATATGTTTACTGAATATAATGTTTATTTTAACTTTTCCCCAATATATTGTTAAATCAAACATAACGTGTCTAACATATTAGGTTTCATGTGTTTCTTATTTAAGAGTAATGCAGCAACAATATATAAGGATAGAAATGGTAAGTTATATTGCAGATTTACAAACAAATTATCAACCATAATCATATAGTCACGATGAATATAATATTTCTTGCAGTGTAGTACATAAAACCAAAAATAATTAGTTTCTGTAGCTCAAAATCTAGAGAATCCATTTTTAAAAATATCCACTTTTCACAAATTGGCAACGATTTGAAAATAAAGATAGGGGAGAGTGGGTTAAAACCTGGTAATTTTTTTTTGTAATTCTCGGTTTACAAAGAATTTATAAATCAAATGAGTTCAAGTCTCGTTGAAAATTCTTACTTGACTATTAGAGAATGAGAAAATAAGGTCGATGGCATGAAAAGTTTTTTGATCCATTTAAACCAAGTTTTTCAAAAAATGCAAAGTGATAGTATACTATCATGAAAATATGTAAATCATGGAATATTCTTTAACTTTTTATTCAATTATTATTATATAACACTTACATTATAGTAAATAATTAATATTCAATTTTAATCAAAATTAATTAATTTACTTTCGATAAAAAGTGGATTGATCTTAAATTTAAAAGTTGCATAAAATGTAATAAATAAATTTTTATATACCGGTTATATCATTAAAAGGATGTAAGGTTGTAATATAAAACATATATGTAAAGGGTGGCACAAATGGAAATACCTATGATGGAAAACTAGGGGTACCCGATTTTGTTACTTTATTTAATGTAAATTATCTTACGTTTTTACATTTCATAATTTAAATAAATAATATTCTAAAAAATATGTTTTTTCTTCAATTTTCAACGGTGGAGCACAACCACGTTTTTTGAAAAGTCATGAAACCAGTATTTTCGAAAAACAAACAAAATTTCTATTTCCGTTTTGAACTTTAAAGTTGTGTTTTATGTGTAATAAAAGTTCTATATAATAGAATAGTCAACAAAAATTTATAGAATAGTTTTGATCGAAAAACCAAACCCGGTGCACAAATCCTCAGTCCCCAGTCTCCTCGACAATATATGTAAGCTTTTTCTCACTCATATTCCGCTTCTACAATTTGAAAATAATTGTCTTTTTTACTTTAGATATCGATTTGTATCCAACGGGAAATTATTATATTACCCCTTAACAATAAAGAAAAAAATTGTTGTAAAATTTTAGCATCTATTTAAGGTTATAACAAAACCATCATTTTAATAAAATATTTTAATTTTTAAATTTGATAGTGGATGGAGAGATCTTGAACCAGAAGAAAGTAAATATTTGATACAAGTTATGCCGCCAGCTGATCTCGTACCAGATATTATAAGACAATTGTGCGAACGATCAATAGACAATAGAGGAATAAATAATAGGTCAATTGACAATGCAATGATTCTTTACAACGACGATTTTATGGTTGATCATAAGTACAAAAGTCTCCTGCTAAATATTCCAACACGTCATGTAATGGTGAACATTAAAGAAAGTAAAATATTATATAAAGAAATAGTAAAACTCAGAGATTTGGACATTGTTCATTTTTTCATTTTGGGCAATAATGAAACAATTTGCACGGCTTTAAAAATCGCTGAATTGCAAAACTACACTGGACAATTTTACTCATGGTATATGATAACGCTTGATGATTTTAAACCAGTCTGCGAAGGAAACAATATCACGATAATGTTCATTAAACCGGTAATCAGTGAATCACAATTAGATAGACTTAATTCGCTGAATCTGACAAAGCCACTGATAACCTCTGCTTTTTACTATGACTTGACACAAATTGCAGTTTTTGGAATGAAAGCTGCTATTGATAATGGAGAGTGGCCAGACACACGGGAACAAATAACCTGTGATGAGCACGATAGTATGAAAATTTTTAAAAATGTTCTTTGATTGTTTCCGATTTTCTTTTTGCATTTAAAATTTTTATTCTGCTTCATTTTTTTATTTTGTTTTATGATTTTTCTACATATCTTATCTTCCATTTTTTAAGTTATACAGTGTGACACTAGAAAGTTGATATTACTCATACCTACTACCTGAAATTGTCAGTTTTGAAAAACTTAAAAAATGGTGGGAAGTGTTCCTAGTTGTGCAACAGTTTTTGTTTTTTAATATAACTTTTAATTGGATAATACAATTTTTATGGTTGAAGTTTCATTGTAAAGCTAGTACAAATACCTAACTTTTGCCTAAAAAGTAGATTGATTTTATTAAAAATAGAAAATTTAGGACAGAATAAAATTTGTCCCCAGTTATCGAAAAAATGTAAAAATATGAAGTAAAAAAATATAATATTATATTTAATGTAATATAAAACATAATAGGTATAATATTTTTTTGCAACGATTTTAAATGATTATTAATGATGCATAAAAATAAAAAAATTTAACAGCAAAATTAATGATAAATTTACAAATGTTAGTTATCAATTTTTCAAGATTAACAACTTAGGTTCGGTCCGATTAAATGTATTTTAACTTTGCAGAACACTTTGTTATATATATATTTTTTTACTTAACATTGAAAAAGACACTTTTTTATAAAATTATAAAAACTGTAATTGAAATTAAAAAATTTTCTGGAAACTTTAAATTAAATAATTTATTTTTACAGGTACAAATACACCAAAAAGAGATCTAAGTCTTTTACCGTTATTGATAAATGTGACAAGGAGTGAAAAATTCACACCAACGTATGCACATTTTATTTGGGGTAATGAGAACGGAGAACACAAAATGGAATTTAATATGACCGCCAAAATAACAAAAATACTGAATAAAACGATTGCAAAGAACGAGTTAGTCGCCACGTGGTCACTTGCTCAGAATGGGAATTTCGAAGTAAGTAATTTTGAAAATTACATCTACACTGACAAGGAACACTACCAAGGTGTACCACACCGATTTCGCTCATCTGGTGATATGTTGTAGTTCTTTGAAAAATATTCGACACGTATTCCATGAAAAAAATATCTCAGGTGGTAACTACCACCTTATTATATAAATATTAAAACTTTTTTAAATGCATTAAATGACATAATTTATTCCTTTATTTTATTGTATTATAACAGAAATAACCTGAAATTTGTGAAATTATGCAATGCCTTTGCAATCTTACCCCTTGATGGGGGTAAACTACGCCATCTCTCTTCTTTATTTGAAAGACTTTTTGAACACGCAAGAGTTTAATCACTTTTTTTCCATTGGAGTGAAAAAGAGGAAAAAATAAGTAAAAATTTGCAACATTGAGCAATGTCTAAAACATATTACCTTAATATAGAGGGGTAACTACCCCTCTTCATACATAAAACACTAGCTAAACTCATTTCGTTTCGCTCTTGCTGTAAAAATCAATAGAAATTGACAGAAATATGAAGGAATCAACAATTCCAAGCAATTGCACTCCTTCATGGGGGTGAACTACCCCTTTTTACATAAGGCTAATTTTTTTATTATTGTTTTTATTTAATTATATATGAACGTTTAATTACACAGGAACACAAAAAAAGATGTCTGTGTCTTGAACTAGACATACCATTCCTATAGTATTTTTTCCCGCTGAAAACGAGTATGAAGTCAGAATTGCTCCATCACCCTCTAATTTTTTTTAAATCGAAAAAAACCACCCTTAACCGGACAAATTCAAACTTAGGGTATAAAAAAAATAAATAACAGATTTTTTTATTAATGATTAATGATTTTATTTCTAATAGTACTATATTTTATATAATTTGACTAGATGTTGTCACTACGCGATAACGTAAATAAAATTATAATATACGGGATCCGCCATTATGAATTTTGAAAAACTGACCTCAGATTCGTAATCAGCGACCCTGAAAACCCCCGAGTACTCATTTTGGAGTACTTAGCTCTAATTACTAAAATTTTGTCCACCATATTGGATCCGCCTTTTTGAATTTTGAAAAACTGACCTCCAATTCGTAATCAGCGACCCCGAAAACCCCCGAGTACTCATTTTGGTGAGCTTCGCTTAACTTAGTTTTATTCAAAACTGATATAGATCAAAATCACTTGAAAATATACTAAAAGTGAAAAAGTACTTTGTTCAATAAATCAAGTATAGAATTGTTATTTTTTATCCGATCTAGGTCTTTAAAAGCTTCAAAGTTTCGTAATTAAATATATTATTAATAAAAAATTTAAAACTTGCCTTTTTTTGATTGTTTGACTTTGAAAAAATTAGCGAAAGTTAAACGAATGTCTAAAAATCATTAAAATTTGCTTGAAATTTGAACTTTGATAGACTGTAACTCTGACAATCTTGAATGGATTTTATTGGTTGACCAATGGTTTGAAAGGTAATTTAATTATCTTTCAAATAGTGATTTATTTTTTACATTTGGATGAACTGCTTTCTCTACCGGTGACTTTAAGTGACTTCACACCTCGAAAATGCATAATTTGCTGTTACCAAAAAATTGCACGAGGGAAAAAAATTTTAAATATGATTTTCTTACTCAAAAAACACGTATTAATCGAAAAAAAATGTTTTGTTCGAGTGACAATTTCACTGTAAACCTGTGTTATAGGTAAAGAAAATTTTATTTGTACTTGTTTTCGATTTATCTCCCAACGAAATAGCTAAGTTTGAATTTGTACGACAAGGATGGTTTTTTTCGTTTTAAAAAAAATCTGAGGGTGCTAGATCAGTTATGAATTTATTTTTGAGTTAGTGGAGCAAAAATAATGTAAAGTGTAAGGTTCTGTTTATTAAAAAAACTGTTATTTAATTTTTTTATTGTCCTAAGTTGAATTTGTCCGATTAAGGGTGGTTTTTCCAATTTAAAAAAAATCCAGAGGGTTCTGGATCAGTTCTGGCTTTTTTGTGTTATTCTAACAATAATATGTAGGTGTAAGGTTCTGTTTATTAAAAAAACTGTTATTTAATTATTTTATTTTATAAGTTCAAATTTGTCCGATTAAGGGTGGTTTTTTCAATTTAAAAAAAATCAGAGGGTTCTGGATCAGTTATGGCATTGTTTTTGTGTTAGTGGACCAAAAACACGTAGGTATAAGGTTCTGTTTATTAAAAAAACATTTGGGTCAATCCATTATATTTCGACTGAAGTCGTCGCTGACTAATTTTTAAAAATTATAATACTTTGCAGGAATGATTTTGAAGATATCAAGATCACGAAATGAAAAGAATTTTATTAAAATTTTAATTATTTATTGCAAAATATGAATTTAAAGTATATGAGGTGCAGAAAACTGTCAATTTTTTAGCCATTAGAAAATATGCAAAAATACGTAGAATTTACCATAAAAATAAAAATTTTTTTTTGTAATTTACTAAGAATGAATAAATTTATCATTATCAATTGATGTAATTATTTAGATATGTGAAATAATATATAAAATATGATTTTCAAGTTCGCCTGTCAAATAACCTAAATTTGCAAGTTTCATCTATTAATTGTGAGAAAGAGAAGTCATTAAATTGAAAAAAACCTTACCAAATATAAAGTACCTGTGACTAACTTTTAGTTTTTCTTAGCACTTTTTTCCTTTTTTCTTCATAAATGTGAAATAAAAAGCAATAAAAATTGGCACTTTGCTTATTTTCACTATTTTCAAATGTAAATAACTTTCTTGGAGAAAACTGAAAAATTACAAAACTTGGGCAATATCTAATTGATCACTAAATACACACACTGGAAAAAAATTCGCTTTGGTCCCGAAGATACTTTTTGAGATAATTAAGTTTAAACTTTTCACAATTTTTATCAGGTTAATACATGTAGTTTTTTAAGGACGAAGTTAGGAATACTATAGGAAATACTATAGGAATGATATGTCTAGTTCAAGAAACAAACAACTTTTTTTTGTGTGCCTGTGCTAATGATGACATGTGTACGTCCGCATGAAAATGGTCCACTTTTTCAATTTAATTTTAGGAGATAATCGCAATTTTCTAAAAACGTTTTGGTTTTTTTTTCATTGAAAAACATATTACAGCATGTCTTGCATCGAAATTTGTATTTTTCATAACTTTTTCATAATTAAAAACTCGAAATAATGTTATTTTAAAATCTTAACTATTTGATCTAAATACGGTCATATTATTTGAACAATTTATTCACTCATAATTTTATTTTGCGAATACCAATTTTCTTAAAAGTCAAATTACACAACCACACAAAAAAGTGCCTGAGTTGGGAGATCAAAGTACCCTACCCCCATGTATTTTGGGCCACTGAATACGAATATAAAGTCCGTTTTACTCCTGCACGTGTACATATCTTTCTAACCTCAAAAAACATTTCACATTTTTGGTGGTATACGATTTTTTTTTAAATTGATAAATTTATATGAAACTGAGTATTTAGGGGTTTTTAAGGTAGCTGATTACGAATCTGAAGTCAAATTTAAAAAATTCAAAATGGTGGATTCAGTATGGCGGACAAATTTTTTGAAAATTAATGATTTTTTAGAAATTTTTTTAAAAATTGTTGGATTTTTATGAATTTTTTTATTTGGGGGTTTTAGGGGCCACTCATTACGAATCTGAAGTTATCTTTTCAAAATTCAAAATGTCGGATTCAATATGTCGGACGAAAAAATAAAAATCATTTGGATCGGCATGAAAATTGTTACTCAGGGGTTTTTGGTGTCGCTGATTAAGAATCTAAAGTCAGTTTTTCCAAATTCAAAATGGCGTATCCAATATGGAAGACGAATTTTTAAAAAATTGTTGAATTTTTATGAAACTTGAAATAAACTCAACCTGGGCCGTCGGCATTACCATTACCCGATGAGGTTGAGTTTATTTCAAGTTTCATAAAAATCTAACAATTTTTTAAGAATTCGTCCTTCATATTGGATCCGCGATTTTGAAATTTAAAAAACTGACTTCAAATTCTTTATCAGCGACCCAAAAACCCCCGAGTAACAATTTTCAAGTCGATCCAAATGACTTTCATTTTTTCGTTCACCATATTAGATTCGCCATTTTGAATTTTCATAATCTGATATCAGATTCGTAATCAACGACCTCAAAAACCCCTGAACACCAAGTTTCATATAAATACCTCAATTTAAAAAAAATCGTATACCACCAAAAATGTGAAATGTTTTTTGAGGTTAGGAAGAAACGTACACGTGCTTCATCTTTTGATATTGCCTTGATTGGTTCGGTCATCTTCTGATCTTGCCTTTATTGGATGGATCTTCTTCTCATCTTCCCTTGATTGGTTGGGTCATCTTCTGATCTTGCCTTGATTGGTTGGATCTTCTTCTCATCTTCCCTTGATTGGTTGGGTCATCTTCTAATCTTGTTTTGATTGGTTGGATCTTCTTCTCATCTCCTCTTGATTGGTTGGGTCATCTTCTAATCTTGCCTTGATTGGTTGGATCTTCTTCTCATCTTGTCTTGATTGGTTGGGTCATCTTCTGATCTTGCCTTGATTGGTTGGGTCATCGTCCGATCTTATCTTGATTGGTTGCGCTTCGAAAATCCAGAAATTACGCCTAAATTCAGGTTTCCCGGTAGTCTATAGGTTAATTAACTTATAGTTGAATTGCCTTTTCATATCTATATGTCAAAATGATTAAATTCAAAATCGCATATCCCAACTTTTCTAAAAAATTGTAGAATAATTTTAACAGCAGATATTAAAGCTATGAATTAGTAATATACGATAAGCTGGCATAAAAAGTTCAAAACATTTTTTTGCGCTTTAAAAATAATAATGTAAAAAATGTCAACTTTTAATCATTAAAGCTAAAATTACAATAAACATTGATTTAATAGACTATTTTGCTTGTTATATTTGTTTTATATCAGCTATAGGGAAGGATGGGGCACGAATAGTCAGGTAAGACGTTTTCGAATTTAGCGACCAAACCTGAATTTGTATCTGCAAACGAGTAGTATTTTTGAAAAGCCTGGTTATTTGCCTATTATTTTGTTTTAGATTATTTTGCTCTAGAGGGCAATCCCTATCAAATACGAATAAAAAAGTAAAAAAGTATAAAACTATTCTTGCCCCAGTACCGGGGCAAGGATAGTTAAAAGAATCCGAATGCTAAAAATGTCATAGAAAATCAGCAAATTTTCGTTTTCTTTATTTTATTGGATTTAGACTATTCAATATTAATATATCAAGTATTAACAACATGTTTTGAACATTTTCTAAGGTTTAACTAATTTTCTTCAGATGATCACCAACTTCTTGGTCAATATTTTGTTTTCCGTATATAATTATGCACTATCATGTATATCAACCTAAAAAGAACAATTAAACATCTTTTTATAATTTGCACTCGCATTAGCAGGATTTTATGGAGCCGTAATTGCTCCAACTATCCTTGCCTCATGAACCTATATTTCAGTTTTTTTTTAAATTTTAAGGAACGACGTGAATTAATTTGAAAATAAATACGATATTCGTGTTCAGCAGGAAATTCCACTCTAGAAAACACTTACGTAAATAAATATTCGGAAGCACTAATGTAGAAAACAATATGATAAACACTACATTGACTTTTTAACAAAACAAACTTTTTACAATAATAAACTCCTGATTTCGCAAATGGTGTCAGATTAACTTCCAATTTTTACTATCATCTATTGGTGTTAAAACGCCATCCTCCCCAAGTGTATACACCATTTTGAATTTCTGAAAAAGAAGTTCAAATTCGTAATCAGTGACCTCAAGAACCTCTGAAAAACCAGTTTCCAGACAATCTGATTAATTTAAAAAAAATTTAAGACGCCATTTTGGGTCCGCCTTTTTGTTTTTTTTCAAAACTGTTTGCAAATTCGAAATCAGTTACCTCAATAACCTCCTTAAGCAAGGTTTTGCCGTAATCGTTTGTCTAATTCATAAAATAATTTAATTCACCCCCAAGAATTGATAAGGGTGATTTGCACCCCTAAAACTGTTTAATGTCTGATATAAAAAATACGTGTTAAATGTTTTTCATCGAACTACGTTTATGCGCAGTATTAATAAAATCGGCTTATGAGTGTTAGTGTATTATTGTTACTTGTTAGTGAATGCATTTGCTTCTTTCATCAACAACCAGTAATTTTATTTCTTAATATTGATTACGACTATTTTGTTATTAATTCACAGAGTGAAATAATAAAGAACGCCGAAATACAAAATCACACAGCAAAATTGAGTTACCGAATAGTAACCGTCATTCAGAAACCATTCATAATGTACGATAAAAAAAAAGGATGGACAGGATACTGTATTGACCTTCTGCACTATATCAGGAATACATCAGGTATTGATTTTGAGTACACAATTGAAGAAGTTGCTGACAAAGAATATGGGAACATGAATGAAAATGGTGAATGGAATGGAATGATCAAAGAGCTCATAGACAAGAAAGCTGACATTGCTTTGGGTACATTAGCAGTGATGGCTGAAAGAGAAAATGTTGTTGACTATACGGTTCCATACTATGATCTCGTTGGTGTAACGGTCATGATGCTCAAACCAAGAATCAGATCCTCACTCTTTAAATTCATTACTGTTTTAGAGGGTGATGTCTGGCTTTGTATAATGGCCGCATACCTTTTTACGAGCTGCTTGCTGTGGATATTTGATAGATTCTCGCCTTACAGTTTTCAGAACAATCGAGAAAAGTACAAGGACAGTCATGAGAAACGGATATTTACATTCAAAGAGTGTCTCTGGTTTAGCTTGACTTCGTTGACACCTCAAGGTGGAGGTGAAGCTCCGAGGACTCTTCCTAGCAAAGTTATCACAGGTGTTTGGTGGATTTTTGGATTTGTCATTGTTGCTTCTTATACCGCAAATCTTGCTGCATTTCTCACAGTTTCAAGATTAGAGGTACCAATCGAATCACTCGATCAATTGGCTGCGCAGTATAAAGTTCAGTATTCTGCTATTGAGAATTCCAGTGCTCACACTTATTTTCGCAGGATGGCTGACATTGAGCAGCGATTTTATCAGTAAGTTAATCTTTTACAAGATTTTACATTTCACCTTTAACCTTCCGTTGTCACTCGCTTAATTTAATTTAGGACAAAATGTTTGTCAAATAAAATACATTTTTGTACAATTTCAAAATCTGATGCCAGATTTGTAATTACGGACTTTAAAAATTTGTGAGTGGAATGTTTCAAATAAATTAGGTCAATTTTTACAAAAGCTTTGATCAAATTGAATTAGTTGTACATGCATTAACCACTTTAAAAAAATTTTATCTTGACAAAATTACGTCTTTGAAAAATTTTCATTTTACATCATATTTTGTTATCAAAATTATTTTTTTACAATTCAGTGTTTGGAAAACTATAACACTCAATGACAGTCTTACTATTAGAGAAAGATCAGATTTTGCTGTTTGGGATTATCCAATAAGCGATAAATATACAAAGATGTATGAGGCAATGAAAGAAGCTGGGTTTGCAAAAAATCTTCAAGAAGCAGTAGACAGAGTAAGAAGAGTTCAAACGACTAATGAATTCGCTTTTATTGGGGATGCAACTGACATTAAGTACTTGACAATTACGAATTGTGATTTGAAACAAGTTGGAGAAGAATTCTCGAGAAAACCATACGCTATCGCTGTTCAACAAGGATCACCACTAAAAGATCAATTCAACAATGCGTAAGTTTTTTCAGTTATTAGAAGTATGCATGAAGGATTATCCCTAAAATTACACTGTCAGAAATTAACGTTTCTATTTTTTATCTCATTTGCAAACTCGTGAAAGGATTAATAGAATTTCACTTGACTATTATCTGAGAGTTGTTGAGATCATATTTTTAAAAGTTCCAGTTTACGGTGCGCCTGAGTGAATTATAAAAAAATTTAGGTAATTAAAATTTCGAAGCTTTTGTTTCTATGTATAGTAACAGGATGAAGAAAAAATCCACTTGTCCGAATTATAAGAAGTCTGGGAACCACCGTGAAAAACGTTTAAAATTATGTCTGCTTTGTTACAAAAAAAGTAAAAAAAATGCTTATAATTCAAAATAAAATTCAAACGAAACTAAAAATATTGCTGGATCAATTTGATTTTTCTGATGAAAATTTTCCTGGTATGATATGTTTTGCCTGCGATTTGTCTGTGGATATGGCCCTAAAATTAAAAAACGGTTTAATGTTCCTGATTATAGTAAATTTACACCAATAAAAGAAAGAACGCGTTCATCAACAACTTCATTTGAATTTGACATTGAATTATAAGCATTTTTTTTTTACTTTCTTTGCAGCAAGACAGACATAATTTTAAATGGTTTTCACTGTGGTTCCCAGACTTCTAATAATTCGGAAGGATCACCCTAAAAAAATTAATTATATAAATTAATAGTCTATCTTAAACAACTATAGTTTGATGTATTACCCAGTAAACTTACTTTTATTTTTTTGTATTTATTTTTATTAATCAATAATCTTGTGAATGTCTTAAAAATTAATACTGTAGTATAATGAAATAAACATTTTTTTTTGTCAAATTTAATTTTTTAATCAAAACTAGTTTTTAAAGGAGGAGAAAGTAGCTACGTAAAGTACGTAACTCTCAGAGACAAATGCGCATGCGCGCATTTGTGCGCGCTTATTTCAAATGTTTTTCTTCCTCAAAATATTCAAATAATTATTTGTTATTATAAATTTATTGAATTATGCATTTTTTCTATTAAAAGATTTTTAGACCCGATTAAAAATCAGATTTAACATTTTTCTATTCGGTATAAAATCTTTTAAAACTTTAAAATATCACATTTTAGATAGGTATTGTATGTATATAATTGAGGTTATGCATAATAGTAATTTTCTTGATTCTGCTACAATAAATGAAAATTAAAAGCGAAACAAAAATTTGAATAATAAATTATAAATAAAATTATACTTGTTATTGCAGTATTAAATTAAACTATTATTAAATAATTACCTGCATTTGTAGAAATCTATCAGTTCGTCTTCTGCTGCATGTCTCTATATACATTCTGAGCAATTGCGCATGTCCCGTACCTAACTTACGTATCTTGCTTGCGCGACTTGTGCTTTGACGAACTTAACCGCACGAACTTACCCGACATTAATAGTTTAAACATTTTATTACTTATTTAATTTTACAATTTATTTTTAATTTTCAAAACATGATTTTCATAAAGTGTAATGTTCCAGAATTATAGTAAAAAATTACCAATTTCTATGAATAATAAATACGTTTTTCCAAAATTCAAAATTCAAAAAATTTACAATTAGAAGCATCTTTTTCATACTTGTTTAATATTTTTGTTAATAACAAACCGATTACAATAAAACTTTTTAGACACCATCGTTACCATACAATACTCTATTCTTAAAAACGGTTATACGTAATATTTATTTTTAAAAAAGTTACTAAGAAAAACGAACTTATCCGCCGCGCGAACTTACCCACCTATCCCCTATTGGGATCTGACATGGGGGCGGGGCCTAAAGCAATATGGCGTAAATTGGGTAACACTTTTAGTGAATTTACATGGGAATAACATGGGATGCAATAGAACAAAATCGTTTAAAAAATATTGCTGAATTTAATAAATGTATAAGTGAATTTTTTTAATACAAAATTACTATTTAAATTCCTATTTACAAACATGAATAAAAATATAAAAGAAATCTTATTTTTATACAAATGATTTTCTCAAATCCAGCGATACATGTGCAAGAAAAGTATTGTATTTTCCTTTATATTTCATGTAATTATATGAAAATTTATAAATGTATGTATTTCATTTTTCAACAAGAAGTGAAAAAAAAATTTATTTATCCGTTTTTACAGTGATAAATTAACTTTCAAAATGTTCACATGCACGGGTAATATGAAAGATTATATAACCTCCAAATTTTAAAATCTTAAACTTACCTGGCAAAATGTAATCACTTCTTTTGAAATGCAGAGAACATACTCTCATAGAAGGCTTTATACTGTTTATATTTAAAGCATTTTTCCAGGCCTTTAATTGATCGACTTTTTTAAAATTATCGAACGTATTTTTCACATCCACTACTCGTTGTTTTGGTTTCGGAAATTTATGGAAAATTACGCTTAAATTTTTCGCTACAGTACTGCCACAGCCTCTCACAGAACACTTAATTCTGCAGGAAGATTTCTCACGCGGTAAAAAATGTAGCTTCATTCATAATGATAAAATAATTAACAATGACAGCGGAACTACAATTGCAAGTGACACAAACAGTTATCCAAAACTAGTTACATTTTTCAACACCAGATGGCATGTGTACGAATGTCAGATCCCAGTTTATATGTAATTGAAAATTTCTTAAAAGTTACCATTGCCATATTATTTATTTATTATTCATCATATTTTATCCCTATGCATTTATAATATTATTGGTATCCTTCAACATATACACCGAAAAAAAACTTGGTACCCGTTTACCAAAATTTTACCAATCGCAGGAGTTTGTTAGAGTGATTACAAAATGGCTTTGAACTGATTTCAGTTTACGCTGTTAGGATAACAATTCAAGTGTAAACGTTTTCTACACTAAATCGAAGAATTAAATTAAACATAGAAATAAAAACAAACGTTTTGCCAGAAAAAGAATTGAAATGAAACTGGACAAAAAAGATATTCGTTTGGACTAAAGTATGTTCAATTTCATAAAAATTTTAATCCACTCCTTCTTATTGAGGATCTCTACTTCTTACCCGGTAGTTTAATAAAAGACGCAATTACGATTGCCGCATAAAGTAAAATAGTCTAAAAATGACATTTCATGTTATCTTATGCTTACAAGATATGGGAAACAGAAAATTAGTTTAAAAACAAAAGAATGACGTGTTGGGCAAATACGACAAAGCGCCAAGTGGATTTTTTTCTTTTTTATGTTTTCTTCATCCTATTAACACCTAGAAACAAAATTTGCTTCGAAATTTTAGTTACCTAAACATTTTATTTATATTCACTCCGGAGCACCGTGAGATATGAACCGCGTGGAAATGAAACTATGGGTAAAATCATAAAAACCATGGGCGAAATCGATTGCCAAGGAAAAACGATTAGACCCATGGTTTAAACCTTGGCAAAAATCTCAAAAACCATTGCTTATGTCCGTTTCCCATGGTACAATTTCACATAGGAAATTTTTTTTTAATTTTACGAATTTTTAACCATTGCTAAAATCTTGGAAACCATGGGAAAATTAATTTTTTAATTTTACTAATTTTGAACCATTGCTAAAATCTTGGAAACTATGGGAAAATTTTTTTTATTTTACGGATTTTGGACTATGGCTAACAACTTGGAAACCATGGAAATTTTTTTTTTATTTTACAGATTATGGACTATGGTTAAAAACTTGCAAACCATGGGAAAATATTTTTTTAATTTTACGGATTTTGGACCATGGATAAAAACTTGCGAACCATGGAAAACAATTTTTTAATTTTACGGATTTTGGAACATTGCATAAATCTTGCGATCCATGGGGAATTTTTTTTTCTTTTTTACGGATTTTGGACCATGGCTAAAAACTTGCGAACCATGAGAAACAATTTTTTAATTTTACGGATTTTGGACCATTGCATAAATCTTGCGAACCATGGGAAAACATTTTTTAATTTTACGGATTTTGGACCATTCCATAAATCTTGCGAACCATGGGAAAATTTTTTTTTCTTTTTTACGGATTTTGGACCATGGCTAAAAACTTGCGAACCATGAGAAACAATTTTTTAATTTTACGGATTTTGAACCATTGCATAAATCTTGCGAACCATTGGAAAAAATTTTTTAATTTTACGGATTTTGGACCATTGCATAAATCTTGCGAACCATGGGAAAAAATTTTTTAATTTTACGGATTTTGGACCATTCCATAAATCTTGCGAACCATGGGAAAAAATTTTTTAATTTTACGGATTTTTAACCATTGCTAAAATCTTGGAAACCTTGGAAAATTTTTTTTCTTTTTTACGGATTTTGGACCATTGCATAAATCTTGCGAACCATGAGAAACAATTTTTTAATTTTACGGATTTTGGACCATTGCAAAAATCTTGGAAACCTTGGAAAATTTTTTTTCTTTTTTACGGATTTTGGACCATGGCTAAAAACTTGCGAACCATGAGAAACAATTTTTTAATTTTACGGATTTTGGACCATTGCAAAAATCTTGGAAACCTTGGAAAATTTTTTTTCTTTTTTACGGATTTTGGACCATGGCTAAAAACTTGCGAACCATGAGAAACAATTTTTTAATTTTACGGATTTTGGACCATTGTAAAAATCATGCGAAATATGAAAAATTAATTTTCAAAAATTCCCAATTGTTCGAAAGATTTTAGCAATGCTCCAAAATCCGTAAATTAAGAAAAATAATTTTCCCATGGTTCGCAAGATTTTATCAATGGTCCAAAATCCGTAAAAAAGAAAAAATAAGATTTTATCAATGGTCCAAAAACTGTAAATTTAAAAAATTAATTTTCTCATGGTTGGCAAGTTTTTAGCAATGGTCCAAAATCAGTAAAATTAAAAAAAATTTTCCAAGGTTTCCAAGATTTTAGCAATGGTTAAAAATCCGTAAAATTAAAAAAAAAATTTCCCATGGAAAATTGTACCACGGGAAACGGAAATGAGCAATGATTT